TAGGGAATTTTTCAATGACAGTTTTCATCAATAACTGTTATGGTCTGATGAGGAGATGTGGCGATCTCCGAAATAGCAGCTATTACTTCTACCAAAATGTAAATAATTGTTGTTTTTTCATAAAACATTTTCATTAATAACGGCCTGAAGCTCAATATTTTTTATTTATTTTTTTTAAGGACAACTGTAAATACTAAAGATTAAAAGAGTGCGCTATTCAAATGATAAGGAGTGTATGTACGGTATTTTATTTTAGGAACCTTACTTTCGTTACTCCAAATTTTTCCCCCAATTTTTCGCAATTTTTCTTCTTGTTTTTCAACTGACTACCTAAATGCTTAGTGGTGCTACTCGTAAAAGTATTGCAATGCAACTTCCATATTGGCTGCTAAAATAGTTCGCTTTTGAAAAGTTAAATGAAAACTAGAATCAATGTAACTTTTCGCAGCCATGCAACCAGCCAGCCAGCCAGCCAGCCAGGCAACCAACTTTCCTAACAATCGAGTTGCTCCAACAAACTAAGTAGCAACTTCTCGGTCACTAAGTCTGCCAACTGTTATTTGTTATTATTGCTGAATTTTTAGCTCTTACGAGTACTGCCAATGGCTTCCTTTTTTTTTTGTTGCTAACTAGCAGCCATCTTAGTTGCTCCAGCAACGCGTTCCTGCTTTTATTGTTATTGTGCGTATTAGTTGGTTTTCTGATGTATGTATTTATTAGGAGCTTCACTATGTCACTTATGTAGCTGGCTGGTGGTGGCGGCACATCCAAGTCAACTCGTAGAAGTTGTTGTCAAACTTTTCAAGTTGTGTACGAAAAAGTTTCATAGATTTTCGGCAATGCTAGTTTAGAATTAAACTAAGTTTTATACGACGTAGCAACTAAAAGGCATGATAACTGTTCTTTCCGCTGCTTGTTACTGCTACCATGACGCTGCATCTGTTAGTGCGTGCGTAGTGAGGTCAGCAGCTTCATAGTTTATTGCTAAAAAAAAAAAGATTGGCAAATAATAGTTGAGAAATGAATTTTTGGCAACTACTAAGAAAAATCAGTAAAATTGCATTCCATTGTAAGGCATTGTTTAGGATGAATGCAATTATTTTGCTTAAGAGAAGACGAGTTCATGCATAGAAACGGCTTTGAAATATTTGGCTCGAATTTTGGAAAATGTGAATGCAACGAAAAAAAAAAGAAAAAACTTTTAAAATTTGTTTCTCCTAAAATGTGTTAATTGTAATACGCACATATAAACTACGGATTATGCAAACGTACGGCAGTACCTGTCGCTGATTTTACGCATACGCGCTAAAAAAAAGTAAAATGTATGTTACTTATTATAAATTTACATACTTACTTGATTTTTAAAATTTTGTTGCCGATTGTTTTTTGTGTTTATTCGTTATATGGAAACAATACTTGAAATGTATGTTAACTGGACGGCAGGAAATAGCTCCGCAAAAAATTTAGCCAGTAGGTGGCGCGCGAATTGCGAATATTTCGAAAACCCGCCACACCCATTTACTTAACCCTCTAAAACTAATAAAAAAACGCAAGTTGTTCTTGTAAAATAAAAACAATTTTCTTCTTTGTCAATCAACAATTAGTTTACCGCCACCCAACAGTTTTCTATTGGTTTCATATATGTATATTTTCCTTAGATTTCAATGCGAAATAAAATTTAAAATACTAGTGTTCGCCCAGATGTCGAAATTCAACCTCTAAAATTAAGGGGAGTTGAGGTGGCCTGAGCTGAGCCGAGTTGATTTTAATTGAGTTAGTTGAAGTCAATTGAACTGAAATGCGTTGAATAACATAACAGAGTATAACATAACATAACATAATACAACAAAACACAAAACAACGCAATACATATTGTCGCTACCATATCAAACTATCGAAATTGTCAAATTTCGAGTCTTCTTAGAAGCAGAGGATACTGGCTTTAACAAAGAGTTGAATCCCGTACCTTTTCCTAATGACAACAACATTTTTACAACTGTTTCTTTGCTCTCCTGTAAAGTACTAATTTTTTCGATAGTTTGACATGGTAGCGACGATACGTACATCTGTTTTTTTGCTTAAGGTTATATTTTTTGTGTTTTTTCTATCTAGATCCCTACCTCTACCCTTTTCGAGAACAAACCCGATAAAACAATCGAAAACCATATCGATAAAAAATATCGATAGAAAAATCTAAAACAATATCGATAAAAAATTTATAACAAAATCGATAAAGAATGGATAACAAAATCGATAAAAATATTGATAACAGAATATATAACAAAACCGATAAAAATATCGATAGCATAATAGATAAAAATATCGATAACAAAATCTATAAAAAATATCGATAACAATGGATATAAAAATATCGATTACTATTATTGGTTTACTGATATGTAAATAACGTGTTTTTCATAGTTAAAACTTTTTTATTCACCTCCTTCATATTTCATGAAGTAAAAGGTTAAAATTTCATAATTGTTTTATTTTATACCAAAATTCTACGTCACATTCCAACTGTCAACAATTTGGATTCAGTTCTTACGGAAATGCCGTAGTTTTGACATTTTTCGAATATACCATTTTAATTGGAGGTAAGCGTGGTTACCGACCGATTTCAATACCAATCTACCTCGGATAGAGTGCAACTTTTATACAAAATTTCCCTGAGATATCTCAAAATTTTGCTCATGGTATCCCAACTTCTCTCCTCATTCCGATCATAATAGGGACACGACATTTTGACCAGCATTGACTATTTTGTTTTTGTTTGTTAAAAATTTTTTTTTCTTGTTTTTATAAAAATATGGCCTATTATCTAACAAGAACCATACACGTTCAAATTTCAAACTTTCTTGAAAAAAATTTAAAATAATTTATAACAACAAACTTTTTATTAAGAATTTTTAGAGAATTTCTCGATTCCTTCAGGTTGTTACAAAGAAACTTTTTGTGAACAAAGTTAATATAACTTTGTGCTCAAAATACGCTCGAGTTGGTATAGAAATTAGGAGACGTCTCGTCTGTGTACGGATTTCCTGGTCACTAAGGGTGGCAACCTGGAATTTATTTCCTGGATTTAATAAAAAGAAACTTCTCTGTCCTCGGTTGGCTGTAAATCCAAACTCCGATGAAACGAAAAAGCGAAAGAAGAAGGGTTGGTATGCCCCGATTAAGATTAAGATACGACTAAAATTACGACTGATATTTTATAGATAGAGCAATTTTACGAATCCGTTGAAATAGTGCGTGAAATATGGGGATATCCGGATAACCAAATGAACGGATACCAGCCGGATATGCGGATATCATGATTTTGTACGTATACACGTATATTCGAACAGATATCCGAATATACATACGCATAGTCCCAGCCTTGATGCAAGCACAATTTTTTCACAAAATTTATAACGTAAGTTGGGAAGGGACATCTGCTAACTACAAAACGGTCATCATTATGCGATAATCCTTCCACAGTTTTCCGTTTACCGGACTTTTCTTTTTGTACCATAAAATAAGAAGTTTTTAACTTTTTTGTTGTTTGAAATGTAAATACTTACAGTGACTCAAACAATTGGCCACTTGTAGATTTTTTTTTAAATAATAACAATGTTTTCCGAGTTAAATTCTTTTGTTATTTTGCTGTAAATATATTGTGCAAGCTTTAACCACAATCATATAAATCACAGTTTCAAACTTTATAAAAAATATTAAAAAATTCATCAAATTTGTATACAAATTTTAACTTTTACATCTGAATCGCCAGAAAATTTTTAGGTATGCAGTTTTATAGCCCACATACTTAAGGTCCAATGATGTGCAAGTAATTTTTTTTTTTGCTGACGGGTTTTTGCACTTTTTTCATATGAGCATGAATTTCTTATGAAATAAAATTCGAAAGACCGTTCGAGGCAAAACGTTAAAAAATCAATTACAGTTTTCTTAAATTGCACTTGTTATATAAAAACAAACCCAACGACGTCACCAAAAAAAAAAAAATATTCAAAATCAATGCGATTTTTTAGCCGTGACACTTGCGTGGACTATAAAACTGCATACCCAAAAATGTTCTAAAGATTCAGTTTAAAAAGTTTCCGCATTTTTTCTGGACTTGATTGATACAAATTTTTCCTTTTATAATGTGCCATCTTGAAAAACGATTTAATAAAAGTAGTATTTATATATTGAATAAATCGCATTTGAATTTCTGCCATGGCATTTCTAAGCCGAATCCCTTTTCTCTATTTTCATACAATTCCATTATACCCACGCTTTATCTACCACTGTGCATCGCTCATAAACAGAATAAAATATATATATATATATATATATTTTTTTTTTATATTATCACGTTCCTAATTACAAGTAGTACTACTTTGTAAAATCCCATGTTTTTGTGTATTTTTTTTTTTTTTGTTCTATGCTTTTCTTGTTTGATGACATGCTTTTACAAGCGGCCATTGTTTTTGCTAGTAGCATCGTTATCATCAGCATGCCAGTGATGTGGGGATCAGCTATTGTTATGCACTGTCTCTTTGGGCGAAAACCATTGTTATTGGTGGTATTTTTACGTACATACTTTGCTTGTCCAACGCCAAGTCTACATACAATACGCCTTTACTTTGTTGTAAATAACTAAGCTGCCTTCATACTTACTAAGTCGCCCACCACTTTGCCGCATTATATCCATGTATTTGTACCCGTAAAAATGATGGCAATACCCGGTGCGCGTTGTCTGAATTTTAATTATAACCACCATTGCTGCCTTAGTGGTGGCAGTGGCTGATGAGTGGCATTAAGTTGGTGTGCTGTGCTAGTCATGCTCGCTAGCTATTAGCTGGCAAGCGATAAGTTCAGCCAATCCTTTTATATGACTTTGCTTGACTTTTGCGCAATACTTGTTTGTGGTTGTTCCTTTATATTCCCTTACCACACTTAAGCCCTTTTTCTTTGCATTTACTTAATCACTTACATAACAATTCATTTGCTTCTTGCAGTTATCGTTTCACACAAATCGCTGTGGATGCACAGATAAAGACGCCTGGCGGGAAGACCTATGATGTGATATTCATTGGCACAGGTGAGTTGTGAGCGGGTTGCGGGAACACAGAGCGGTGTGGGGAGTGCTTATCATGGAAATTTATACACAGAAAGCATTGTTTTTTTGTTATTTATTTTATTCTCTTTTATTTACTTTGTTTCCTAATTGCGTGTAACTGTATATTTTTAAATCCACGCAGATCATGGCAAAATTATAAAATCCGTCAATGCCGAGTCTGCTGACTCCGATGCGAAGGTATCTTCGGTGGTGATTGAGGAAATCGATGTGCTGCCAAAGAGTGAACCCATCAGAAATCTGGAAATTGTGCGCACAATGCAATATGGTAAGTTGTGAAAACAAAAACCAAAAAAAAAAAAAACCGTGATGTGGGTAAAAATAGCTGAATTGTAGCAGAGTTAGCATTGCGCTGATTGGTTTGAAAATACTCATTAAAATGGTGCCACATGTTTTTTTTTATAAATTTTTTTTGTATTTTCCTTTTTTTTCTTCTCGCAGATCAACCAAAGGATGGCAGTTACGACGACGGAAAATTAATCATTGTCACCGATAGCCAAGTGATTGCAATACAATTGCATCGCTGTCATGATGACAAAATCACCAGCTGTAGGTGAGTGTGACATGACGCTTTCGCGTAACGGCAAATTGCTGCTTTTTGCATTTTTTCGTCGCAGTTTTCAACACGCTGCCTGCGCGGCAGTAAGGCGCTCTATGCCCGTCAGCGGTTAGCCGTTGCATACAGTTTGGTGTGCGACAGTTAATGCCAGCAAATTTATATGCATTCATATATACATATATTTATGTAAATTTTTTATATGCTCCTTTTTTCATTGTTCTTTCTCTCTCTCTCCCTTTCTGTGCGTTTGTGTTTGTCTCTTGTTTAGTGAATGTGTGGCGCTGCAGGATCCATACTGTGCTTGGGATAAAATTGCTGGCAAATGTCGTTCGCATGGTGCGCCACGTTGGCTGGAAGAGAATTATTTCTATCAGAATGTTGCAACTGGGCAACATGCGGCATGCCCATCAGGTAAGTGCAATAACATGCAAAACAAATGTGTGTTAAATATATTTAATATAAAGCTAAAAAATACAGTGAAATCTCGATATAATGAACCTTGATACAACGAAAAACTCAATATAATAAAATATTTGCTGAGTCGCCTGAAGAAACATACTTCAAAATTGTTCGTAAAAAAAGCGCCATAGATATCTATATCTATATATATATATAAAATTCAAATTATGTATGTACCTATAGACACACTTGGCTCCTAAACGAATAAGCCGATCGTAACCAAATTTTACACACGCACTGGATATCTTCCAGGGATGGTCACAGGGTAAAAAATATTTTGATATATAAAGGGGGCGTGGCCCCAAAACGTGGACCCGGGTAACCTTAGGATGTATTTGTTTAATATGG